ACCTAATAGCGATGGCCACCCACCTAATAGCGATAGCCTCCAACCTAATTGCGCTGGCCCCCAACCTAATAGCAATGGCCTCCAACCTAACAGCGATGGCCTCCAACTTATATAATAGCGATGGCCTCCAACCTAATAGCGATGGCCTCCAACCTAATAGCAATGGCCTCCAACCTAATAGCGATGGCCTCCAACCTAATAACAATGGCCTCCAAACTAATAGCAATGGCCTCCAACCAAATAGCGATGGCCTCCAACCTAATAGCAATGGCCTCCCACCTAATAGCGATGGCCTCCAACTTAATAGCGATGGCCTCCCACCTAATAGCGATGGCCTCGAACCTAATAGCGATGGCTTCCAACCTAATTGCGATGGCCTCGAACCTAATAGGGATGGCCTCCAACCTAGTTGCGATGGCCTCCAACCTAATTGCGATGGCCTCCAACCTAAACAATGCCCTCCAACCTAATACAGTAGCGATGACCTCCACCTAGTAGCCATGGCCTTCACCTAGTAGCTTCTTGATCCCCAAATAGATAGAAACAGGTTCCAATAACTTTGTTGTGGGGATCTACTTTTCTATCAATTTGGGGACCTATATATATATATATATTATATACATATCTATTTATATTTGATACTGTATCGGCCGTGCTCAAAGAGGTTCAATCACTGGACGCCTCAAGAATCGAATGAAGCTGGAGCAAAAGCCTCAAGAATATTCATTTTCCCTGATTTTCTGGAGCCCAGCAGCTGCGAGGACCAACTTCGAGTAAGCGATCGTCTTCCCATCCTCTGTGGTGACCGTCTTCTTTGCACGGTCAATGCTGACCACCGGCGACTCGACGTATGCAGCAGGACCTCCGAGTTGCTGAACTTGCTCCTGAGGAGTCGAATGTTGAACGTCTTCTCTGCGGGGTCCATTCCCCAAGGCAAACATGGAACTCCTGTGGAGAAAACACCTGTGCAAAGGCTTCGTCACGAGAGGTCGTTACTAGACCATCAATATCTCGGTGCGAGTGTCCTCACAAGAGTCATTCTTCAAAGCGGGCCCTAAAATGCCCTCTCCTTCAATGCTTCCAACACCACACTGGCAAGGACTGCATCTCCCGCAGGGCAAAAAACCGAGGCCTCCATCAGCAACACATCTGGAAAACATTGGTGAATTCAAAGGGGGGGTCCCTGCACCCTCATGAAACTAGTCTTTGGCAAAAGAACAAGGTCCATCCATGGTCCATCTGAATCCTTCCACGTCGAATCCATGTCACCCATATTCTCTCCGATTCTTAGTCCCCCCAAGCTGGGCAGCTGGGCAGCTGAGCAAATACGAAAACCATATCTATTTTAGCCCGCTCCCCCCTCTCTACTTAATCAAGTAGGCGCCTACTTAATTAAGTAAGGGAGAGGTAGCCAGTAGCTTAAGTAGCTACTAGTATGGACGCAGGATAGCTCACGCTCGCACTAATGATTTGGCTCCGAGATTTTTAGGGAAACTTAACATTAGAACAGTGAAAGCGCTAACTCCTGCTTCCAGAATTTCAGAAGGTCCCACCATCGATGCTCACCTCCACATAGTCATCAGAAAGGCGGAGCATGGGCCATCGCTCTGCAACCTGCGCTTATGAGGCATGAGTCATTTTCCAAAGTAATAGCGATGGCCTCCAACCTAATAGCGTTGTTATCAAAGAGAAGTTTGGGGTGATCAAGTCATATAGGTTTGGTACCATTCGGAATCCACTGTCCCTCTCATCGACCGAAGCATCCAGCTTTGGGATCGACCAGCTCTCGTCCTTGAGAGGTGTGGCATTTTTCAGCATCTTGGACCCCAACAGACCAAATCTATATAGAGGAGTGTATTTCAGATGGTCATATATATAATATATATATGTATATGTATATATATATATATATATATCCGCCGACCCCGGCCTAGCTGATGCCTAGGCGGGGCGGCGCCTGGGACACCGCAGGGTGGAAGCCGTTGCCAGTAAATGTCCCTTGCAATGTCAAGCCGGAAGCCTTGGGCCTGAGTCTTTCCGGCCATGGGCCGTTGGCTACGCTCGGCCAGCACCTCTAGTTATGGGCTTCCAAAGGCGACGTTAGGCCCCAGGCAGTCTGGCTCGCCGCGGCCCCTTTTTGGTGTGGAATTAGATGGTGGAAAAGAGCCTTGGGAGTGAGTCTCTGGAGAGCGGCCACCAGAAGAAAGACGGCTGCCGTAACACTTGCAAACATCTGCACAGCCCGTCAGAGTAGCTGCAGGTCGTTGCCTCACTGTCAGGGCTGTGCCTACTCAGGTTGCTTGTCTGCGACAGTGGGGACAGGAATCGGAGAATCCTTTACGCACTGCCAGGGCTGGGCACGGAAATGTTGAGGCTTCAGTTCGTTAGTCTGTGACATATGGGGGGACTTCCGCCCACCGGCTCTGCCGGAGGATTGCCTTGTATTTCTATTCTTTGTCAGTCCGGTAGAAAGGAAGACATATGAAAGCGATGACCTTCGATAAATCTTTCGCGGAAAAAAAAAAAGATACTTTCGCGAACCTCATCACGAATCTTTCGCGGATGGTTCTAACGACATCTGACAGTCATCCTGGCCCCAAAAAGGGTGGGCGTTAGCCCTACATATATATATATATATATAGCCCCAGCAAAGCACAAGCTAAACCATAGTGTTCTTTCAATTCTCCTAGGTTTTACACATGTTTTACTCAGGATACTTCTGTGTCACTCCAGTCTAGCACCTCATCTCTTTCACCATGTTTCACCAGCCAAACACACCGCTCAGTATCGCTCGCCTGGCGATGGCTGAGGCGTTCATAGCTTTGACCCAGCTCTTCATAGGTCTTTGCCAGGCCATCCAGGCTCCGGCGGTCGAAACCCACGTCCAGGCAGCCCGTGGGGCACCTCATAAGGGTCGATCGATCGGTGGAACGAACGACCCAACCGATCGATCGGTCAGAGGCGTGAGCTGCCGAGCTGCCGAGCTCGTGCCCCAAAAAACCTTCGAAAGGATCCTGGCAGTGTGAGTCTTCGGACCCGATAGAGGAAACTCTCGACCAGACGAGCACTCGCTCCGAAGCACCCCGCAGCGTACGTCCGGCTGGAATTGGCCCGACCGACCCTCGCAGGTTCAACCTCGCTCAGTTCGCCAGTGGCTCCAGTTCTCGCCCTGAGTGGTTCCACTCCATCTCACCCCACCCAGAAGGGAACCGAGCGCACCCCATCAACGGCCTTCCTTCCGTGGCGCATCAGCGGCTCCCGATGCTCCTTCTTAAGCTCCTCGTAAAGCTCGTAGGAGCGCCGCGCCAGGCGCAGCATCACCGGGTCTGCGTAGCTGACGCGCGCGATGCGCGTCTCGCCCCAGCTGCCCTTCTCAGAATGGTTGGCATCCAAGAGCTCCACCTGCTGGGTGAAGGAGTCATCCCATGTCGCATGACGAGTTTGGGCGGCGAAGACACGTCCTGCCGCCCAAACCTGCGTCTCGACGCGTCCGGCTGCCGCTTCGTGCAGCATCTGCACACGATACTCGGGTAAGATGCACCTGCGAGATCCTGTGAGTTAACCTAGATTCGGCTTGAAAGGGTACCCTGAACAAAAACTCAAAGGTCAAAGACTTGCGAACCCCACAACCAAGAAGTTTGGTGTCATTTGTTCTTTACTAGGTGCTTTCAGGAAAAACTCTCCACAGTAAGGTGTTAAGTAGTCCAAACAGGGGGCATTTGATGTTTAACAAAGTCTGCACTACTACTTCTTACTCATGTCTTTTTCTGCTCAGTCGACCCGACCCAACTGTCTTCTTCCACGCCGACCCAGCTCGCTCGCTCCACTCACTGCGAGCGAGCTGACCTTCACACCTCTGCGACACAAGCTCCAGGCCGTTGAGAGGCCCATCACACCTCCCCCAAGCACCACCACCGGAAGACTCTGCTTCGCCTCGCACCTGGGCGAAGCTGGCGGCTTGGCTAAGCCAGCCGGGGTGGCGGCGGCTCGGCTGGGGTCCCTGACTTGGAGCGAGCGAGCGAGCGAGCTTTCGCACGTGGGGAGGAAGAGGTGTTAGTTTGGGTGTTGAGAGGTGTAGTTTTTGGTGTCGGGAACCGTCAGTTGAGAGGTGCTTCTCCTGCCCCCGTCTTTGAGACCGACTTGTCCCATCTCTAACAGCTCAAGAAGTGCAAGTGGTGTCTCTTCAGTCACTGAAACAGTGAAGACACGTAGAACCTGAAGATCAATTGAAAGACTGAACAAACTCCTCAACCAACCAGTTGATGCCATGTTCTCTTGTTTCTCTTCCCATGCGGACATATACCTCACAAAAAAAAGGCAGAAACTTCTTTGGTGGTGCAGAATCGCAACACTCCCCGAGTGAAAAAGGCAAAATGTGTTGTGCTTCATCTCGTTCCGTCGCCTCAGACTCTTTCGCCCCTTCAGCGCATCACTGATCGGGAGCGAGGCCAATATTCCACCGGCCACCGGAGCCCAGCGAGAGAAATGCGCCATGGCGCGGAGGCGGCCGGAAGAACCAGTCTGACGCTGAGCCACGTGTTGGATTTGACGTGTCGGATTGCGACACAAGTTGCAGGGAAAAGTCGTAAGCTCTGCCACCATGCCAAAGCATTTTACACCAAATGTGGTCACCGCTGCGATGTTTTGGAGAAGTGATGCTCTTCGCCACGCGGTGAGGGGAATTGTCATCTCGAAATCCTTCGAAGTTACAGCCGCACACGTTGAACGTGCCTGAAATCACCGAAAAAAGAACCTGAAATGTTTAGGAAAATCGATAATCGGATGCCATGTGTTCTTCATGCCAAGCTAAGGACAGCTTCTCAATGCGTTTTCTGAAGCAATGGGGGTTTTGTTTGTAGATTCAAGGTATACCTCATATCGTGATGTTCTTTTTGGGGCTGTCAAGCCAAACAAATTACGGAACAAACCATTCGCTGCCATGCCATGCCATTCGCTGTCTGATCTTTGCCATGCCATGCTCTTTTGGAGAACCAGCCACGACCACGTGAAGCTTTTAAATGTCTTGCCGCACTGAGTATCAGGCTCCACCAAGGTCTTTCGGAACATGGCGAGGTCCATCGGGTCATCCTGAAGTTGAGCGCTATGAAAAAGCGAGTGTGACAAACAGGAAATCGGGATACCGTACCTTTAAGAGCCAAACTCAACTGTGTCCGAAACCTTGTTGCAAGTTGCAAAAATTGTTTTATAAAATCCAGACCCATACCATTTAATCCATCCCTGACTAACCCGTGAAATGGCTCTGGAGTTGGCTCTCGTGGCGCAATGTCAAGGCCACCAGGGATTGCTGCGTTTGTTGCTCCATTACTATTACTACTACTACTACTACCACTACTACTAGGATTACGACTATGACTACGACTACGACTACTAGAACTACTACCTCTACTACCTCTGCTACCTCTGCTTATACCTCTACTACCTCTACTGCCTACTGCCTACTCCCTACTACCCTACTACCCTCTACCTACTACCTACTATTTTGGCTCTCTAAATCTGGCCGCTCAACATGTCTGGTCCTTGGGTGCTGCACTCATGTTATCGAAATCCAAGAGCTTGTCCTTCTTCACCTGAGAAGCCCCCCGTGTGTGCACATGGATCCGAACACCGGTCATCAAGGTTTCGTTGGGAAGGGGGAAAGCATGTTAGAGGAAATCTCAGCTCAAGGCCCGATTTGATTTTAATCCAATCTGGAAAAGGAAGGTGGAAAAAAAAAAGCTGGAGCCCACGAACCCAGCTACATATGTCCAAATGACACTCTTGTGGGACACTCTTGTGGGTCATTGTAGGAAACTCTTGTGGGACACTCTTATGGGACACTCTCGTGGGACACTCTTCTGGGACACTCTTGTCGGACACTCTTGTGGGGCACTCTTGTAGGAAACTCTTCTGGGACACTCTTGTAGGACACTCTTGTGGGACACTCTTATAGGGCACCCTTGTGGGACACTCTTGTGGGACACTCTTGAAGGACACTCTTGTGGGACACTC